GCTCCGTTCGTAGCGATGCCCTTTGCTCCTAGTAGCGTTCTTGCTCCTAGGAGTACGGCCAGGAGCCCCTAGCAGTTTCTTGTTCCTATGTTCAATGGGCCATGTGCACTAATTTAAATTAAGCCAATCCGCAGTCCACGTCTCCAAAAGTTTGGCTTCCACTCTTACAGATCTTACAATGGCATTGCATGTTTGTTCACTCGCATTCCAAAGAATGTGCCAACACCTTCGCAATGAGGAAAATAACCATGTTCTCGCAGCAGGATATTTGCGATCCTATCAACAGTTTGCTCCATGGAAAGATGCAAAATACAGAAGTTCGAATGGCATTTCCCGCTTTTCCATAATGTATCCCGCTAGCCGCTACATCAAACTCCCTTGCCTTGGATGCAAAATGCATTCCTGCTGTCCTTCGCAGGACGCTTTTCATGCTTTTAGACTCGGACAAGACCGGGCTTATTGATGTCGATGAGCTGCTTGGACAAGCATAGCCGTTCGGGCCGCTCGTTTGCTTGGCCCAAAAGCGACAAAATAGAACGGACAAGTGAGGTTTGTGAAGGGCTGCATGCAGCTGCATGGGCCAGCCAAGAGCATGCAGGCGAGAGGTTGATTCGATTCCCCAATAATACGAGCGAGCTGAGCATTTTTGCTATTGAATCTCTTTGGCCGCTTGGTTTGGCAGGTGGCCCAGATGAGCTTTGAGAATAAGCAGCTTGGAAGAACTTCGGCCGTTTGCGGTTCAGCCTTGATTCATCTTGGCTCCCAGTTTTGAGGCTCACTCGATCTGCGATTAAGAATCTGAGCAAGGCACCGGACGGCGTGGGCAACACCATGCGCCGACCATGCGCGAATCGTCAGCCAACTTACAACCTGCTTGGAGGGCCTGGTTGGATCATCATCACTCATCCAAGTTTTGCCCACAAGGCATTATGGCAGTCCGTGTATTGAGGGGTCCTATCAGGTAGGTGCCTGACACTCCCTTCAAGCCTGGCCAGCTTGCTTCTGTTCGTTTTGTTCACAGGTATAGACTATAGACGTAGGGGTAGAAGATTGCGCCCACTGACGTTGATAAAATCGAGCTCCCGATCAGGGGAGTTTCGCTATTTTTCTGGGCGGGCTTCGCCAATGAGCAGTTCAGTAAAGTCATTCCACAGTCCACAGCCCATGGTTTCGAATGGCCTGCAAACGACTTCTTTGTACCCAAACCTTTCAAAGACGTGAAGCAAATTTGAGCTCCTTTGATGTGTGGAACTCTCACCTTGCACAAACATGGCGAAACCTTTTTGATGCTGACACTGACAGTGCTGGTGCTACCTTGAATGTATTCAGCCTTTCCGGTGTCCATCAGTGTTCTTCAGCATTTCTACTTCCACTGGGTTTCTGTGACCCCATTTCAATTCTCAAACTGAACACGGCTTCTTTCTGCGCAGGAAATCACCGAGATCGGTGGCATTCTTGGATATTTGAGTGCGAGAATATGCCCGACCAGTGTGGAGGTGGTTGATGAAGGAACAGAGGTGACACGAGTAGAGTGCTGAGGCTGGAAGGGGCAAAAAAGGCTCATTAACCTCACATCATGACCACCAAAAATCATCGAATAGATAGGAAGACAGAAGGAATGAGACAAGCACAAAGAATCAGCCCAGGGCGGATCCTTTCAGCCCAGCCTTCGGGGCGAAGCGAAATGGATCCCGAGACTGTGCTGCCTGGAACCTGCGTGCGCAAACGCACCAGCGCGTTTCACGATGCTCGGTGGGTGGAAGAAACTCTGCACTGCCTGAGGATTTATTGAAACCGACAAAACATTCGGATTTTCCTCACCTCAGGTGGCGCAGGATCTCTTCCACAACCCTTTGTGGATGTTTTTTCCCACACACGTCGAAGATCAAAAAGGCAAAGAGAGGGCAAACTGTCAAACAGTTTGTTCGAATCACAGATCCCAATGATTCTGAGCAAAAAAAGTGTCACCAAAGCTAGCTTTTTCCAGCCATAACATGCACGGCAGTTAATGATGCAGCATATACACCTATATACACTGTATGTTCTGCTGTAGTATGTTATAATACATATTACATATTATATACTATGTGTATATGTATTTATATACAAATATATGTGTGTGTGTTGTCGAAAGGGTGTCCACTCACCTGACCATTGGATGTCCTGCGTTCTCCGCCCCCCAATTGGGACATTTACCGCTTCAGAAACACAGCGATCAGGAAAGTACGATTCAGAGACTAAAGCAGCTGGTTCAGCAACAACGATTCAGAAACCAACAAGGACGATTCAACAACTACGATTCATATCGATTCATAAACCAAGGCATTCCAATTCAGAAACCACATGGGCCGCTGCAGAAACCAAAGCAGCTGATTCAGAAACCAAGTCAGATGATTCAGAAACCAACAGAGAGCCATGGGTGGAAACCATGGCCTGGATAATAACGCTCCATGTGGTTGCAAAGGCTTTCTAAATGCAGTCAAAAAAGAGATAGTTACAGCATAGGCTGGAAGGCGGGGGCCGGGAAGAGTGTGCGGCGGCGGAGGGAAACCATGGCCAGGATCCTTACCTACAGTGTCGGTTCCCGTGTGGGTCCTTACCGAATCAGCGGGATTTTGGTTACTGAATCGACGGTTTGGGTACTGAAATCACGGTTTCCGAATCATGCCGCTTGGTTACCGAAGCAGACGTCGACCCCCACCAATGCGTGGCTCAAGCGATCCGTGCCCCATCGACATCGAAACGGTGCGCCATGACATTTGCGCCACCCACAGGTTTGGGCTTTGGCAACAGGCTGCATGTGGTCAGCCATTCAAAAATTGGTTGACATTGGCAACTGTCAATTGAAAACATGTTGACGGTGGACCCAAACAATGAGAGAGACTTTGCTGGCCAAGTTGGGCGCAAGAGAACGTTACAGCGAGGGCCCCCCGCATGTTGAATAGTCTCGGACGATCGACCTACCCAAGGCAAGAAAGCCGTAGACCCGACCGAGTTGAATGAGGATCCCGATTACCAGGAGACAGAGAAAAAACACCGTGGGGACTGACTATGAAGCCTCTTCGGCATCAGCTGATGGTCTTGGTCTGGCGCGGCAGCCCAGTGTCACATTCGAGGAAGAGGAACCCAGAGACATCTTGGCTACCATGGTTCGTGACCATCAAAGCTTCGGAGGCAAACGTGGTGGAAACGCTGCTTCCAAGGAAGTGAACCTTATGAAAAGATCCAGGAACTCTCAAGAGGGTGGTGTCTGCAGGCGAGGATTCATCTTTGCGGGGCTCTACAAGGTTCCCATCACCGAGTTGAAGCGGCATACCACATGCGCCATATATGCAAACAAGTGGGGCATACATTGGCATAAGATAAGGACAAGGAATGTACAGTGGCCCAGGCAAATTTGGAGCGCCAGCTTGTGAGAAGTGATGAGGCCATGTTTGTGAACTTCCGTGACTTCTAAGATTCCAAGAATGAACATGAGGCGCGCCACTTATGCTTTGACCCACTCGAACAGGCTTTTCCACCTGGCACTCGGCGAAAGCCACTGAGCGTAGCGGTGCAGCGTCCTAAGACTAGTCCATGGAGCAATACAAGGAACGCAATTCTGCCCACAAGTTGCATTAAATGTGCACATAATTTCTGTAGCTCGCGGCTGTTGACGCACAAAAGCTGTTTGCAGCTCAACCTTCCTTCTTCACCTGCAGCTACCATGATTCCGGAAGAGCGCAACTTTTGTAGTTTTCATTGAGGTTCTTCAACAGCATCGGACCACATGGCAGTATCTTGAGGCCAGCGGTGTTTAGCCGGGCTCTACTTACTGCCCCTTCCTTGTCGCTGGAACGCAGCACAGTGTTGGAACTCGGTCCGGGCAAGGGGGTGTCAATTTTTCACAAGTTGAAGCACTGAGGGTTCCATTGCCCGAGTTCACTGTCAAGATGACTGAACATCCGAAGCCAGGTGTCCAGCGGATTCAGTTGAACCATGAGTAATCTTAGTCGGCTTCAACCGCACTGCGCGACAACGTAAGCTGCACCAATGCAGGCTTCAGGAAACAAGCGGACTTGTGCCATGGGGCCGGGCAGCCCTCCTTCAGCACTGGCGCTGCCTGATGCTTCGCAACACCACGATGGTTCAAAGAGGCACTTCTCCAAGCTGACCTTGATGGGCATCAACCAAAGAGCCCCAAATGACCCAAGCTGCAGGTTGACCAGACGCAATAACGTCGGAGCAGAGCACGACAGCTTCTCAATTATTCAGGATTGCACGCTTAGCCCTTTGCTCTCATGCTTGCAGACTTGGCTGCTTCACGACGCGCAAGCTAAATTGGTGACGCCACAGGTTCCGGTCTTTGACATCGAGTTTGCCGATGACATTGTTTTAGTAGTTCGCGCCCAGCAGCACGGAGCACATGAAAGACCTTCCGTGTGGTTCCTTAAGAAGCTCCCAAGTATTTTTTTGCGTTTCGAATCTCAACCTAGATAAAAATGAGCTTAATTAAGCTTTACAACTTCACTACACAATAGTGATGCCTCAATGGCATACGGAGATGGCAGTATGGTTCAGCATGTATCCCTTGTAGTTTATTTGGTAGACCATGAGCACCATTTTAGACAAAGGCTTCTCCTAACCATCATCATCCACTGCTAGTGGTAATAGGATGGGCCTAACTCATTTGGGTGGGCTCATTGATTAGATTGGGAAACCGTGCCCTTAAGTTTGGCTGCGGGTCAAGTGGGAGAAGCGAGGCAGGTCTTCCAAAAACTTGCGCGGATTTGAGGTACGCTTAATCCAGCAGGAAGCAACTTCAAACGTACATATACAGTCTGCGCCGGTTTTAAGCTTTTTGTTAATGTTTGCACCCAGAGTATCTTAATTTAGAGCAACTGATAACCCTCAACGACATATTTCATCTAGGGGCCGGGAAGGTGCAGAGGCGTCGCAAATTTGTTGAAGTGGTTGAAAAGCAGAAGGGTTAACGTGGATGGATCCCGACTAACGCGAACACGTTTTCCAACTTGATTTGGCTTGGGTTATGGGCTTTGCGATTCCGCTCTTATTTTTTAAAATATTACACATATATGTAAAGACATTATGTGTTTAATTGAATTATTGTAACTACTTCAAACTTACTATAATTTCTGAAACTATAGTTTGATATGTTTTTTTGATTGTTGTATGAAATTATTCTGACTACAAATATTAAATGTAATGTATTTAATATTACGATAAGGTTTAATAATAGATGCGTAATTTGGCTAAGTTAATATATTGTTGATTTTATGTTTTTAAGCGAAAATCATTGTTTGATGGTATTATATTTGATATGTTGTTTTGTATTAATGAAAAGGATCCAAAATAATTGAGTTATTCTTTTTTGGTTTGGATGTTTACAACTAGGATTAATATTTCGATATTTTCGATTATTTATGAAATAGACGAAAGGAATTATTGTTAATGAATGATTTTTAAAATTAATGAAATTGATTCGAAATAATTATGGTATTAATCGAGTAATAATGGTATTCGAACGATAATTGATGTATGTTTGAAATTTAGGATATTTGAATGGGTTGGTTTTTTATAGTTGTTTTATTTTATGTAAATGGGCGTTAGGTGGTAATGGGTCGCGACGAACAAAAATATAATATATTGCCGTCGGAAAGGGCGTTGGACGGGCACGAATCGCGACGAACGAGAATGTTAAATTTTGTTGTTCCGCTTAGGCGTTAATTAGGTAGGGATGGGCGGATATTGGGATTAATTGTTCGGATTTTATGTTAAAATAAATTCTATTATATGTATATTTCTATGATTTGATAAAAATATAATATATTGATCGATTTTTTGAGATCGATGGAAATATAATATACGATATTGAAATATAATATATTATATATATTTTTTAAATAAATTAATGTATAATAGATTATATTAAGAAGCAATATTTGTTTAAATGTAAATTGATTATATTTTTATTTGATATTATATGAATAATTGATTTTAAAAAATATATATATATATATTTAATTGATAAATTTTAGTTTATTTGAATATTACTATTTAAATTTGATTTTTTTATGTAATTTATATTTTGGAAGATTTTGATAATTAATTTATTTTAAATTATATTGTAAATAAGTTTAAAGGCATATATTTGTTTAAATGGATTTGTAGTTATAAAAATAGATATTATTTGACATTTGGTTGGAATCGATCGCTATTGGAAGGCTAGGAGTCATTCTTTCTTGTTTTTTCGGTGGCTCCTTGGTGCTTTATAGGCTGTTTAATTGGTCTTTTTTTGCCTCCTTGGGTTTAATAGGGGATTCCAATAATCCGCCAAGGCCATGTGATTCGATATTTGCATGTTATTCGAGGTTCGGGATTTGAGATTTAAGATTTGAAATTTAATATGCGAAAGTTGATATTTAAGATGCGCGATCCGAGATTTATGGTCCGAGGTTCGGGATTTGAGAAGCGAAATATGAGCTTCGAGGATTGAGATTGGCGGTTTATGTTTGAAGATGAATATCTGGACGATTCTTGATATTGAATTAATGATGGAAAAT